GTTTTATCCTGGCTGTACACCGCCCTGAGTCCCGCAGGAGAAAGGCGGTATAGAAATATAATAAAATAAATAAATAAATAAATAAATAAATAAATAAATAAATAAACAAACAAACATTCATGTCCTCTTGCAATGCAAAGCAGAAGAGGCTTGCCTACTTTATCAATGTACATTGATTGATAATAGTTACTATCTTTATCAGTATGGGAACTGTCACAGAATGTTTATCCTGTCACACTCTAAAGCCATCATCATATACAAAAATTGTGAAATAAGGGAGGGGGAAAATACTATAAGGAAAAAGGTATACTGGAGAATTCATTATATATAATTCTATATAAATGTTATGGGACAAAACAAAACACTTTCAAATGTGCAGCTACAACATTCTATTGAATTTGGCTAATAATATTGTAGAGGATTTAGCCTTCTTGAGTATGACTGGCTGCTAGGGGCTTCACAAAGGTATTCTTGAACTGCTTTACCCAAATGATGGTTTGGAGGAACATTTAATACAATTATACAATATGAATCCTGAAAAGGAGAAGGGGTTATGTCCATTTCCTCTTTCTCTCATAGTATTTATTGCTCACTAATTTTTTTCTTTTTTTGTGTGCAGCTGTAACTCTATGGGACTACACCCCTTTGTAACTCTGAGCTTTTTTGTGTCCCTGGATTACCTCCAATTCTGCCTTTGGAATGAAAATGCATTGAGCTCTTGGCAAATGAAGCATTTGATCCTCCTATTGGTAACACAGCTGTTGATGAATTCCTTACACAGACTTTTGAGTTAATTCCCTGTTATAACCATTTTCTTTCATAATACAGTCATTGTTCTTAAGGGAGAACAGAGATGTATTAACATGATACTGTATAATACAGAACTTGGACATGCATTTTTCGGGAACTTTGCTCATAAAAAGCAAAATGCCTTATGTATTTTATCTAGATGTAGTATTTAAACATTTGTCTAAATGTCTAGATGTAGTATTTAGACATTTGTCTAAATGTCTGTCAATATCTGAAACATTGCAAGGATACTTTCATACATACCAATAAATATTAGAAGTTGCTTATGGTTGATTCAAATGATACTAATGGACAAATATCAAAATATATCAGAAGAGAATGCTTTATGCCTAATAGTTTTATAAATTTGGTAGCTTTCATATAAGAATCTGTACCAGCTGCAGAGAACTAAATTTGAAACCATGGTAAAATTAATCACTTGTTCCAAATACTGCAGTTCTGTGAAGCTATTTTCAATGGTCCATTTCCCCATTTGTAGGATCTCTTGCCTCACAACACTTCCATGTTCCTCACATCAGGTGCCCTAACAGCTCTTTCAAGGATAAACATGTCGTGATACTTTTTAAGCACATTTTCAGAATGTGCAGAGAATAACAAAGTTGGAAGGGACCTTGGAGGTCTTCTAGGCCCCCTGTTCAGACAGGAGATCGTATATTTATTTTATTAAATTTCTATACCGCCCTTCTCCCGAAGGACTCAGGGCGGTGAACAGCCACAAGATAAAACACATAAATACAAAAATTTAAAATAGATTAAAAACGAATTAAATAATTTGGCTGAATTTAAAATACCCCATAATTTAAAACAAATTAAAATTTATATTTAAAAGGGGAGAAGATTTAGGCCAGGCCAGCATGATGAAATAAAAAAGTCTTAAGCGTATACCAATCTGGACAAATGGCTGTCCAATCACTTCTGTTTGAACTGTTTGAATTTTTTCCTTTCTGCTGCTACTAGATAAATGCATGCAGTAAGGGCATGGGTAATTCATATGTATGTAAGAATTCATACAAAATGAAGTGTGTTTTTATAGAAGCTTGGAATAGGGAAAATTGTTGCTTCCTTATTCTTAGCCTTGGGCTAGGAATAGAAAGCTACAGATTCTCATCCTCTTTTGCCCGCAGAAGCCAATTTAGATCAATGTCAATGTCTCTTAGCCCTAGACTAGACACTAAAGTTGAAAAACATGTATCTACCAACCTGAACTAGACCAATGGAGTAGATTAAGCCCCAGCCTTCAACAAAGAGGACTTCACAGAAGAGGACAACCTGAGGGTAGGACAAGAAGCAATGGGTGGAAACTAATCAAGGAGAGAAGCAATTTAGAACTAAGGAGAAATTTCCTGACAGTTAGAACAATGAATCAGTGGAACAACTTGCCTGCAGAAGTTGTGAATGCTCCAACACTGGAAGTTTTTAAGAAGATGTTGGATAACATCTTTGTCTGAAGTGGTGTAGGGTTTCCTGCCTAAGCAGGGGGTTGGACTAGAAGACCTCCAAAGTCCCTTCCAACTCTGTTACTCTGTTCTGTTCTGTTCTGTTCTGTTCTGTTCTGTTCTGTTCATTGTGCAGTGGGTTGATTTAGACTGATAATTCTTAGTTTTGCAAATTCCACAGAAAAGAAAGATACAAGTAATGTAGTTCTCGATTTACAACAGTTCATTTAGTGACCATTCAAAGTTACAATGGCAGTGAAAAAAGTGACTTACGACCACTGCAGCATCCCAATGGTCCTTCATCAAAATTTAATTGCTTGGCAACTGGTTCATATTTATCATGGTTGCAATGTCCCAGGGTCATGTGATCCCCTTTTGTGAGTTTCTGACAAGTAAAGTCAATGGGAAAGTCAGAGTCACTTAACAACCATGTTACTAACTTAGCAACTGCAGTGGTTCACTTAACAAGTGTGGCAAGAAAGGTTGTAAAATGGGGCAAAACTCACTTAACAAATGTTTCACTTAAATGTTGGGCTCAACAGTGGTCGTAACTCCTAATTCCTGTAATTCCACACAAACTTCAGAATAACTTTGAAGGATCGGGGAGTGGAACCAATAGTAATGTAAAGACTGAAATCATGGAGGCAATGATCTGTAGTTCCCAGGTTATTATGTAAACATAGTTTAATACTGCTGCTTTTCCATTGAGAAATTGGCCAAGTTCCATAAACTTGGAAGGGCAAGAGGAAAAATTCTAGAGTTGAAACTGTGAATGTAAATATATAGCCTTTGACTTCTCTGTAGTATAGTGGCAGCCAATTGTTATATTTAAATTTTCATTCATGTCTGGAAAAAAATCTAATCTACAAAGTGTGTCCAAGATTTTTTACCCAAGACAAGTGCTAAATAAAGAGTTAAGTGTCTGCACAGTTTGTTTCACTGCTGAACATGGGTGTGAAATCTGACAGTTAATGTGTAGTGCCATGTCAAAGGAATGTTAAAAATAAAACCAGAGTGGTAGCTGTTAGTCTTGTGACTTACGATAGAAATATACAATATTCAAATTTTATATTTATTCCAAATATAGACTTGGGAATGCAGTTATTTTGTTTAAATTAATACAAGATTTGTTGTTTCAAGAACATGAGAAACACCGAACAGGAACACAGGTTAATAATTGCCCTTGTTAAACTTGGCCGCCAGTATTACTTTTGTGTCTTCAAAATATTAAATATGCTTCTTAAACAATTTGGGATAGAATTATCAAGAGAAAGAAGAATCATCTAGATTAAAAAGAGAAGTTGATAGAAAATGTAATTTATCAAATTCAAAACAAAGGTATTATAGAAATGAGAATTTTAGCAAATGCAGTGATACGAGGCATGAGAGTTTCAGCACTTCAATAGATATTCAATATTCACGATCCATTTTTTTCTCTAGAACCATGATGGCGAACCTATGGCACGCGTGCCACAGGTGGCACGCGGAGCCATATTAGTGGGCACACCAGCTCAGCTCTGGGGCGCATGCACACGCCAGCCAGCTGATTTTCGGGCCTTCTGGGCCCACCAGAAGTAGGGAAACAGGCTGTTTCCTGCCTCTGGAGGGCCTGGGGGGGTGGGGAAGGCCCGTTTTTCTTTCTTACCTGGCTCCAGTTCCTCTCTGTGTATCTGGGAACGGCGAAAACAACCTTTCCCACTCCCTTGGAGGCCCTACGGAGGCTGAAAGGGCCCATTTCCCCACTCCCGGTAGGACAGGAAGTGACGTTTTTTCCTGTCCCCAGCCTCCAGAGACTCCTAGAGAGGCTCCTACAGACTCCTAGAGACTCCTAGAGAGGTTCTGGAGGCTGGGGACAGCAAAAAATGTCACTTCCTGTCCCACCGGGAGGTGGGAAATGGGCCCTTTCAGCCTCCGTAGGGCCTCCAAGGGAGTGGGAAAGGCTGTTTTTGCCGTTCCCAGATACACAGAGAGGATTTGGAACCAGGTAAGAAAGAAAAACGGGCCTACCAGGCCATCATGTGCCAGGAGCAGGGGGGAGGGGGGAGGGGGTTGCACACACATGCGTGTGGGCACGTGCGCGCGTGACCCTCCCCTGCCCCCCCTCTCCTGGCACGCAATGGCAAAAAGGTTAGCCATCACTGCTCTAGAACATTTTTTTTTTAAATTGGAAAAGATATTCCACAATTTAACATTATCTCTCTTTGAGTTGTTATATATAAGATCACTTTAGTGAATATGCTGTAACTTATGAGGAAATAGCCTTGAATAAAACATGATTTTGCTGCCTGAAAATTTGGTAATTGGAGAATGGCTCTCAATAGCAGAAGGTATAAAATGCAAAAATATAGTTACTTTCTCTGGTGTCCCTAATTATATTTTGAGTTTATTGATTCTTTGATAAATAGCCAGTGGCTTATATTACCCACTTATTTTTCTAAGATATGGATATCTTCCCCTGGAATCTACAATGACTAAGAAAGGCTATGTTCTGCTCATTGGAGCATATCTTTCTGAAAAGAAGGGAGAAATGCAATAAAAGTTGCCCAATGACCCAGAGGTAGACTTCAGTTGAAAACAAAATTCATTTTTCTGTGCCACTATAAAGACAGTCATAAGATCAGGGAAATTTGTAGGGAAAGTTTGTTGGTGACAAAAATGTAAAATACCACAGTGTGTGAATAAATACTGTAAAGTTAATTTAAAGTAGAACTGCTTACACTTCAAAACAACAGATGCATTTATTAAGGAATTTACCTGCTTTGAGAGAATGCTTATATTTCTGAGCTGTCTTCATACTAGGAAAAAAGATGGAAAGTTATTGTTCATCCTATAGGAAACAGCTTGCATCTTTAAAGGATCTCTAATTGAATATTCAATTATTATATAATGTATACAATATCACTGAAAAACTATTATGTGCTTTAATTAATCCTTTCTCTAAAGAAAAGTACAGGTAGTCCTCCACTTGCGACCTCAACTGTGTCCAAAATTTCTGTTGTTAAATGAGACATTTTTAAGTGAGTTTTGCCTCATTTTATGACTTTTCTTGCCACAGTTGTTAAATGAATCACTACTGTTGATAAGATAGTAACCCAGTTGTTAAGTGAAGCTGGGTTCCCCATTGACTTCACATATCCGAAGGTCACAAAAGGGGAATCACATGACCTTGGGACACAGCAATGGTCATAAGTATGAACCAGTTGCCGAGCATCCCTGAGCATCTAGGGATGCTACAAAGGTTGTAACTGGGAAAAATGGTCATAAGTCACTTTTTTCAGTGTAGTTGTAACTTTGAACAGTCAATAAATGAACTATATATAATGTATATAATTGTCTGTTAAATAAAATTTCATTCTATTATTCTTTTTGGTTAACTGCAGACATTTTTTAAATTTTATACCTGAAATCTAATTCACTCTCTACTTTCTATTCTGCTATGATATTTCCAGAAATATAGTTTTTGAGTTTTTAAGTACTAAGAAATCTAATTCTTTAAAACATGAAGCCATTAATGGAATTATTAATAGAGTTATAGAAGATACTACAAGTTTTCTATTCTAAACTTCTTGCATATCATCCAGATTTATTTTTGAATTTTCTTTTAATTTATGGTAATAATAGTCACTTTAGTCTCAATAAAGCCCTAAACAATCAAGATAACAAGTGTTATCATGTTAACTGTATTTTTATCATTCAATTTACATAATTCTATTCATTAGGTAAGATCTATATATTTTAAAGATATGTTATAGCTGATTAAAACTATTAACTTCATTTTTACAAGTGTTCCCCCATATATGTGTGTGTGTGTGTGTGTGTGTGTGTGTGTGTGTGTAGACTTTTTAAAAATAAAATCTGTTCCAGACTATTTCCCATGAAAGCAAAAGTCAGATTTAAATTTTCTGCCCAAATATGTCTACGTTCATTGCTAAATAGTAACTTAAGTTCCTACTATGATTACAATCAAGAACTTGCAAGGATTGCATCGGTCCTAAATAATGATTTTCACATTGAGTCCAGGGTAAATAATCACAACTTTATGAATAATTAATACAATCATCTAATTAATACAATTATAATTAGATTATCATTGCAATCATGCATGATTGCAATGCACAATTGCAATGCACAATTGCAATGTGCAATCACTGCAGAAGTGGGAACTTCATGAATCCCTAAATGTCCTCCTGAAAACTATGCTTTTACAGTCCTTCACAAATATAGTATGATAGGGGTGTCCAAGTAAGAGCAACAAAGATGATTAGGGGACCGGAGGCTAAAATATATGAAGAACGATTGCAGGAATTGGGTATGTCTAGTTTAATGAAAAGAAAGACTAAGGGTGACACGATAGCAGTGTTCCAATATCTCAGGCGCTGCCACAAAGAAGAGGGAGTCAAGCTATTCTCCAGAGCACCTGAAGGCACAAGAAGCAATGGGTGGAAACTAATCAAGGAGAGAAGCAACCTAGAACAAAGGAGAAATTTCCTGACAATGTGAACAAAAAAACAGTGGAATAGCTTGCCTTCAGAAGTTGTGGGTGCTCCATCACTAGAGGTTTTCAAGAAGAAATTAGACAGCCATTTGTTCAGAATAGTATCCTGCCTGAGCAGGGGGTTGGACTAGAAGACATCCAAGGTCCCTTCCAACTCTGATATTCTGTTACTCTGTTATTTGGGACTAGTTTGTTCTAAAGAAGAGGCACAACCATCCAAAAGACTCAACTGTACATTCGCTGCAGAAGGCCTTCCATCAGTGGCAGAACCCACTACTTTAATTGTTACATTACAATTAAAAATTCAACTATATTTTACAGTATAATTCTATCGGTTTCTACTTGGGAATAAGCAACGTTGAGATGATAATTATTAACTGGGCACATCTGTATAGGATTGTACTGATAAATCAGTGATAAAGCTTGCATTTACAACTTTGTAATAAAATTGTTGTTGCAAACCACTTCCACAATTAATTAAACCAGTTGTTTATATTAATCACTATGTTTAAAACATGCTGCAATTGTGCCACCTGTGGGAATATAAATTTATTGAAATACCTAAAGATTTCCTCCTACTGATAGACTTTGCAGCCTCAATTACAAAATTGACTAACACTTTCAAAACCTCCAAGAGACATCTGAAACAGCTGCAATTAGGTATTATCATAAGCTATCAATTAAGCAGTGTAATCTTTTGCAGTTCAAAACCGTCTTTTGCTTTTAACAGTTGGATCCTGCAACCATCATAAATGCATGCCTGTTCCTAAGCACCTGAATTTTGATCACATGACCATGGTGATGGTAAATGCAAGGCCCAATCATAGGCCACATTTTTCAGTGTCATTGTGACTTTGAACATTTATGAAATGAATGGTAGTAAGCCAAGGACTACCATATCTGTATCTGTATTTTGAAATAGCAGCAAGGACAACTAAGAGTCCATTTGAAATTGCTTCTGGGGATTTGGGCAATGAAAATAGTATGGAATAGAATGTAAATGACCTAATGAGCAGCAACATATTGCTATTGAAGCAATAAGTAGCACAATCACTAGTTTCCCTACCCATCTTCATTCTGCAAAATGTTGTCTATTCAATTCTATCTGTCTCAGTATAACAACCATTTGTATTCTTTTTCCTTCCATACATGCTTTACTCTTTCTGTGTAATTCTCTTCTTTTTCTTCATCTGCCATAGTCTTTATCTGCCACAATCCTTTTGTAGAATCACTCCATGTGTTCTATTTAATTTAAACTATTCCTTTCCTATTTTCTTCAACCCTTTAACATCATTTCCACATGGTACCGGTATATTTACAAGTTCTAAGCTGATTCTGGTATAAGATTTTATTTCAGCATCTGACATTTCCAGTAAGTTGATTTATTCAAGGATTAATTGCAGCACATCGGAAATTGCATAAAAAATATTTTTTATTGCAACATTGGAGTTCTATTGAACTTGTGGATGGGCTGTTTTTGCCATTGGTGGAATTGCTATCTCAGGGATACCTCTTCCCCTTTCAAGCACTATAGCTTGATGCCAGGGAAATAGCATTATGAATCCTATATGAATCCTACATGCAACAACAGTGTCTTGGATATTTTATAGCTGGTCCTCATAGGAATTTCTGATTATTATTATTATTATTATTATTATTATTATTATTATTATTATTTATTTTGCAAACTAAATATCTGAACGGGGTAAGGCCTGATGGAATGTCATTCTTCCACGTTCCTATTCGTCAACTAGAGATTTTACAATGTATAGTAAGATTTTATTTTCTAACACTGTGCTTTAAATCATAACTCAGATTCTTAGGGTCTGATTTACTTTAAGAATGTTATCATTTGATATCAGGCCAGACCTTAAAAATCAGAAGCATATTTTGATTCCCCTTCTTTATTATACACAAACCCTAAATAACTCTGTCAACTGAGTAGGGCTACCATACTAAAATGTTTCATTTTATGATGCCCTTTCCCTTCCTTATTTATTTTTTCTATTTTTGAGTTCATGATTCTTCTAAATCCCAAATAAATATTAATTACACTTTTTGCACACTTCGGAGCATGTGCCTATACTGTCACAAAACAGTTTTCTATTCTCACCAAATTGCCAGTACATATATATATATGTGTGTGTGTGTGTGTGTGTGTGTGTGTGTGTGTGTGTGTGTGTGTACACACATACATACACACACACACATATATATATATACACACACACACATATAACATGTATTACATATATATATTTATGTATATTTATGTATATTTTACATATATATATATTTTACAACAGTGACTTCTTTCATGAAGGTAAAATACAGACATTTGTCATTTAAAACAGCGGCATAGCTAGATTTCTTATTAAAAAAACCCAGTACTTTAGGCTGATAAGAGAATCCAAAACGTTCACTCTTTGATTTTCTGAAATATGAACTTAATTTAGAAACTATTTTTTACCAAAAGTATTCAGAAGATAGCATGTTCCAAAATTGTTCTTGAAAATCCTCGAACCATTTATTTTTTTTCTATCATCTTTTTGCTTTCCACATGAAATGTTCTTACACTTTTGCCATGACATACTTAGTATGGTTTCCTCAGTAATTTCTCAGAAAGGTTACCTTTTTTACAATACAGTATATGGAGCTCTCCTTGCTTAGTTTATAGCATAATATTCAGGGCTGGGTTCTACTTATCTTTACTACCAGTTTGCAATGGGAGTACACGTGTGCGCTTCTGCACATGCACAGATCATCCATGATGACGTCCGGACGGGTGGGCAGAGCCTCCCACTGCTTTTACTACTGGTTCACAAGAACTGGACCGAACCGGGAGCTACCCACCACTGATAATATTGCCATGAGGAAAATATAAACAGCACAAATCACTAAAAGAGCTGAATCAATTCAGTATGTTGATAAGGATCCATTAGATTTTTAAGCCACTGACTTCATGTTGAAGCTGTGTTTTGTAAAATATCTGATACATTTACTGTTCAAAATAGCAGGATCCAATTATTCTGCCAACACTTACTCAAAATTATGTGTCTCACAGTTGCTTGAATAAAGCTAAAAGCTCTACTTTACCATTCTCTAAAAGCAGAGTACAGATGGTCCTTGACTTATGACCACAATTGAGCCAGAATTTTGATAGTGGTCACTGTAGTTGTTAAGCAAGATGTCCACATGACCAACTTGCTCAATCACCTCAATCCCAGCTCTCCATCTTGTGATTGTTAAATGACCACATGAGGCCCAACACCAACTGGCATGTGGAAACTTGTCAGGAGGCCTTAGCTGGCTCTTCTCCCTGTACCATTGCTCCCAAAAAGCCTGGTCCTTCTCCATGTACCATACCTGGAAGGCCTTGGCCGGCTAGGCCCACTGGCTTGCAGAATAAAAAACAGGTACCAAAAAGACCCACTTCCCCTCCTTCTCTCTCTCCTCCCTGACAGAAGGAGTAATTTCTCCCAGTTCTCTGCCCTATGTAGTGGTAAAAAGCGAAACAAAAGGCAGAATGGACTTCTTTTTGACTTTTCATGGTGGTTGGAGAACTGAAGTTGAGAAACCCACCACCCGATGGCCTTAAGCAGCCTGCCACCCACAGCTAGTATAAAAATTTATTGGTTGAAGAAACATGAATAAGTATGTTCTATGCATATAATTTCCTGCTTTATGAAAATTTTTCCTCCTCTATACTGTTATCATACTGAGATATAAGTAGATAAGAATGTGAGGAAGATATAATTGAGCAAGAATCATTTGGTTATCATTAAATACACGAACTTTTATTAAACTATTTAAACAGATTCTTCTTAATTCTTGAGTGTACATCTAGCCAAACAATATTTTGTCTACTTTAGAATTAAATATATTCTTGGCCCTGTCTCTCTGCCATATGGAGTTTTTATGATAAACAGCAAGTGTTTATATGTCTAAGGTGGCATTCCCAAACGCTTCAGTTCATGGATTACCGTGAAGTTTCAGTTGTTCACAACCCCACATATTTAATTATCATAATACAGTAGTAGTAATAGTAGTAGTAGTAGTAGTAGTAGTAGTAGTAGTAGTAGTAATAATAATAATAATAATAATAATAATAATAATAATAATGTCGACGTTGGCTACTTCCATCAACCCTTGAGAGTCAATATTGACCATTTTGGAGAAACCTGATGTAAAGAAATGGGAGGTTTTAATTACTTTTCTGGGATTTGGTTGACACGCAATGCAAAACTGTATACAATATAGTGTTTCAAAAACAAAGAGAATAAGTGTCTGGTAGTGTGTATCAAATTAGACAATGAAATTAAGTTTTCCAATGGAAGGGGAAAAACTTCTGTTATACATAGTGACTTAGTGATTACATATGCTGTGTCTATTTTCTTAATTATCCTAAAGAGAAACCCACAAACTGATCTCAAGGCTGATTTGTACTGCATACAGTACAGGTAGTCCTAGAATTGTGACCATAATTGAGCCTAAAATTTATGCTGCTAAGTGAAACATTTGTTAAGTGAGTTTTGCCCCATTTTATGACTTTTCTTGCCATAGTTAAGTGAATTAGTTAAATTAGTCACATGTTGTTAAGTGAATCCGGATTCCCTATTGAGTTTGTCAGAAGGTAGCAGAAGCTCACATGACCTCAGGACACGACAACAGTCATAAATATGAACCAGTTGGCAAGCATCTGAATTTTGATCATGTGACCATAGGGATGCTACAACGCTGTGGTTAAATCCAAATTTTTTTACTACCGGTTCTGTGGGCGTGGCTTGGTGGGTGTGGCAGGGGAAGTATACTGCAAAATCCCCATTCCCTCCCTACTCCTGGGGAAAGGATATTGCAAAATCTCCATTCCCACCCCACTCTGGGGCCAGCCAGAGGTGGTATTCTGCTGGTTCTCTGAACTACTCAAAATTTCTGCTACCAGTTCTCCAGAACCTGTCAGAACCTGCTGGATTTCACCCCTGCTAAAACCGTTGTGAGAACAATGGCCGTAAGTCACTTTTTTTCAGTGCCATTGTAACTTTGAACAGTCACTAAATAAACTGTTGTAAGTCGAGGACTAACCTTACTAGGTTAGAGCGGTTAGCTAGCTCAGTATCGGTGAGCCACAATACATTAAAGTGTGTAGACTTCAACTTCCATAATTCCCCAGGCAGCCTACTTGGGAATTTTATAGGTTGCCTAGAGATTTCTGGGAGTTGAACCACGCTTCTTAAAGTAGTGGACAAACACCGGCTAGTTTATTGGTTCAACGAATCCTCCAAACATCAAACAAACGAACAGGGGTCGTAAAGAAAAAGCTTCGCTTTAACTACTTAGCAAAGCGGCCTCTTCCACACACTCTGGCGGCTCCCTCCCTTCCCTTGCAACAGTGCAGCTCCGTCTCTCGTGCGGCCTCCAACCCTCTCACGGGGAAAGCGACCTTCCAGCTGCTATGCGGTTGTACCCAGCAGCAGCAGCAGCAGCGCCTCCACCGCCCTGCCACAGGACGGCGGGTGACGGTGAAAGCCCTCCTGGCTGCAGTGTCGTGTCGCGTCACGTGCGCTGCCTTCGCTCCAGAACTCGGCCGCCCCGGCTCCTCCTTTCCTCCGGTTCGCCTTTTCCGCCTCTTCTCTCTGTAGCCTTGTCTTCGGCGCTAGGTGCGCATTTTTGGCAGCTGCCGCTTTGCATTTTTGCAGCTGAGGAATTTATGCTTTTTGGGAGGTCGGGGGGTGGGAAGGGGCTCCAATTTGTTTTCAGCGCCGCTGCTGCTGCAAGAACAGAGGCTCCCGCCGTAGAGTCTCTTTTGATTTATTTATTTTTAAAGGCAGGAACATAAAATGAAATGTAAACCACTCTCTCAACCCTCAGAAGTGAGTACCCGAACGCCAACAACCATGTGGAGGCACTCAAAGGTCGGGCAAGGCTGTAAGCATCCCCTGGACCTCCAGTGGCCATTGCTGGGAGTGGGGGAGGGGAGAGCTCAACCCCAGTGATAGTTTAAAAAGAATGGAGGGGGAACAAAGGGAGAAACTTTGAAATGATGCATAATGCAAAATGTAATGTGAAGCAAAACCTGAAAAGATGCTAGGTACCATTTCTGGAAAATAAATGTCAAACCAGATGTTTTGTTTTGCTTAGTATACAGGATTGGCCTACAGCAGTGGTCCCCAACCTTTTTATCGCCGCGGCCCGCTGAGCGCGCGCAGGGGTGGGGCCACGGCCCAGGAGCCTTTGCGCAGGCCCATTGCGCACGGCCCAGGAGCCT